CCTTGTAGGACATACCAGCGGAATTCATGCCAATAATTTGCCATCTCTTAAAATGATTTTGCATTCAGAAATTCGGGACTTAAATACGAATTTGATGCACGAGAAAATAGTGCATATTGGACGTGAAGAAGGGAGCAAGTTGCACGTGGGGAAAAAAACGCGCCTGATTTAAATGTCACACCTGAATGTTCACATCCTTTTAATTATGTTTGAAATTATGAACATTGCTCAACATCATGAAAATTAAACCTTATTTTCAATAAGCAATCCTGAAAAATATTTGGGGGTGCTTAATTTTTTTCCAGGTGTATAGTATCATTATGGAATGAAATCAGATTACAGATTATCTCAAAGCTAGGAATTTTAGTTCTTATGAAATGAACTTTAGGTTGTCCCAGAGCCATAGGCCATAAATTATAAAGAGAGAAATCATACTATGGGATATCACAATACCAGGATCTGGAACGCTTAAGGAAATAAATTAATTCACTTGATATATTGTTAGGTTAACATATCTAGAGTGAAAACTGATGTAGACCCAAGCTGGTTGAGCCTCACTTTATGTATATGACATTGTTATGTCATATAGCAGATGTTGGTCTGTAAAAAGTGTTGTGTGTGTACATTGCTCAAATGTGATTTTGTATTTTTAGCTCAACATTCACACTTGGTATACTTCTGTGATTTGTATAAACCATGGCAACATGTTGTATGTTTGGTGTTTTAATTATCTTTTTACTCACTACAATGAATTTATAAAAGATTTGAAGAATATTGTACAATGAATGCTACTAATTTACTGTTTTGAATTATTCAACAGACAAGCTGTTTAAAATACTTAAAAATAAATAGGAAGCCCAAATTATTATCTGACTCATCCCTCATCACTGAATTATACCACTTTCAGGGAATTGTACTTCTAATCACTACCCCTGGACAAAAGTAAATCAAAAGAACACTAGGCTTTTTATATTGGTGTACTACATATTATTTGTATGATGTTTCTAGTTGTCTTTTACTTAACAAAGTGAACCTGTATTGATATAGCATTTGAAGAATATTGTTTAACACATTTGGTATTATTTGCATTTATATATTTTTAAATCATAAGTTGTTATACACAGGATTAACTATGTTGTAGTCAAACAATCTTGAATGTATAAATCAGTAACTCATATGACAACCATCGTGATATAAAGTTGTAGTGGTGCAGCATATATCAGAACTATGTTTGACATTTTGTACATAGTTGAATACCACTAAAAATTCATTGATTTTGAAAGGATGTATAACACTTAACCCTAAAGATGTGTTCAGACTGGGAATTTAGAATATCCAAGATATCATTTGTATTTCATTGCATTGGAAAACAAAGGAGTATGGATCAACTTGGGGTACTAGAAACATTCAGAAAAAGACCTGCTATGAGCAATAGAAGCAAAGTATGATGTCTCACAACAGGCAAGAATCCATGAACACAAATGTCAATAGCAAAAGCCATCCACATGCCCCAGGCAACATAATGCAATATAATCAAGAAGGATGTACCTGGAAATGAGGCCAACCAAATATTGGTTCACCAAGATAAGGTTTCCAGTCATATCTCCCATTCAACTGTCAAATACTTCAATTGCCAGAGAATGAAATGGTTGTTCATTCTATTCCTTGGGAAGATAACTTTTGAGTTGCTGGATGCAACATCTGTGGATTGCTATGTAATTGTACTGTTGAAATAGGCACTGGGGAATCATCATCCTTATGTGCTGGATGGATTATGTAAAAGAACCAGGAGGAGTTATTTGCTTTGGAAATGACAACCTTATAATGAAGCATTTTGTAGTGGAAATTAACAATTTGTCTGCAGTAATTTCATTTATATTACCATTACTTAATATGAAACATGGGGCAAATTCTGTGTTTTTACTATTTCAAATGCTAAATTACTGATGAGAAAATAGAACTGAAAGTAAATTGGAATGCCAAAGAAAATAAAATATAATCTTGTCAGTGTGTCAGATGACTAAGTAAAGTTGATCAATGACTTCTGAAATACATGTACCTTATAACCATTGTTATCTCTATTTAAAGAGAAACAGGGAGGGCCTTATTTTCCCTGCTAACTGGCTGGAAAAAAAAGGAGGGGGGATTTAAGCTGGAGACACATCAGGTATTGCAGAGCAAAGAATGAATACCAGTCATTATTCATTCCATGATAGTAAATGATGAAGTTGTTAGTGCTTTGTTCAGTCATTTAGGATTTCTTTTCACAGATTGTTTTATGTTTTTTTATATCCGAAGCATTGCTGCTATTGCTGGAATTTTTTTATAATAAAGTACTTGATTTAATTTTGGTGGAGTTTAAGTTCTGAAATAAATCATTTTTATTCCTGTGCAAAACACATTTGAGAAAAGGTGAAAAGGCATGTCAGAAGGACAGTATACAGTGCCTCAAGCAAGTGCTATCAACATTTTCAGATCATCATTGGTGCAAAAAACAAAGTCTGGAATCTTAAGTACCTTATGCCAGGAAACATTCACTCCTTGTGGCATATTTGCAGAAGCATCAAGAATAAATATGGTTTTTGAAAGATATGACTCAAACAGTTTGAAAGCAGAGACAAAAGAAGGCCTAGTTAGAATGCCATACTGGAACAAAGCCATTATTAACATATTTCTGGATACAGTACAGTCGATACCACTGATATTTGATGCAGGAGGCTTGTCACCATATGTGAATGAGGAAGCACATTCATGGATTCTTTTTTCATGAAAAATGTGCAGCCAGTGAAGGTTACTTGAAGATTCTTTTTAGAACAGTTGAGTCAGATGTTGTATTAGCAATATTTGCTTTCCAAAATATTTATGTTTCTAAGTTGAATAGTGTTTAATATTGGCATGAATGAAAGTTATTCTAGTCTATCAATATTGTCAGACAATGGGACCTTTTTCTGCTCAGTACTACCTTTCTTGATATGTCTTTACCAGTTGTGACACTGTATTGTCCATTGCAGGATATGGAAAGAAATTTTTCTTAGTTTGTGTGTCACATGGAACTGATAGAAAGATATGCTGTTCTGCTGTAAAACTGAACAAACTCTTTGAACAAGATTAATGAAGGTTGCCAGATGTTGTTTATAAAGGAGAATCATTACTTAGAGATTTAATTTTGAACTGAGCTATTTGTATGAAGCATACAGAGATATGTTTTAAAAGCAGGTTACATTTGGAGTGAGTGTCTCATTTAGATGCCAGAAGTATTGGATGTTATCAGTTGGGGATGGAAGAAAGTAAAAACTAGTTTTGTTATTTAAGAATAGTAATGCCTGAAACTATTAGTCTCTGCTATGAACCGATCTACTGCAGTTGCAGAACAACTTACCAAAATATGCAAATATGTAAGTCATCTCTTCACTACACAAACCTGTGTGCATGCACTGGGTAGTGTTCTTTTGATGATTTGTTGTGACTGTTACCTAACAATGGAAGCTCTTACCAAACCAATGGATGATACATTAGTTGTTCATTTAAAATATTAGTGATGGTAATAGGTAGCAAACTGTTATAACATTATACATATTTATTAGTTGTATAAAGCTGTATTTATCATTCATTGTTTCATACAGACATTATGATGATTTAACTTTTAAAAGAATCAGATAATTAAGTAAAATGTTACAATGTTTGTGTATTTAAGTCTTATAACCACCAACCAAAATAAAAGCATATTTGTTGAGTAACATTTCTAGTGATTTATATATGAATAATCTTAATATCCCACACTGATGGTGCATATGTAATATATTTGAGTTATCACAAGGCTGTGTTGGATTATAGCCTCAAACAGCCAGATGAAGGTTCATTCAGTTTGAAACTATACCAGGATTTACTCAAGACTTACTGACATAAATGTGTACCAAATGGCAATTTGGTATAACATTTTACATAATTCACCTTTTTTTTGTAAATTTATAGTATTATGTGCAATTAGAAAGAAATTTGACAATAAAAAAATTTTATCTTCAAGATTTTACATTTTATTAATATAAATACAATAATAAATAACAAAAAAAGTAGGCTTTAACTTCTACAGTAGTTGCTATGAACATATATGACTAATAATACATATTTATCCTTCAAATTTGTTTAAAGATCAGTAATCTTGTAAAGTAATTTTCTCATACATGCAGGCAGGTCAATCTGTCTTAAACTTTATAATCTACTTGTAATTTTTTTTACAGTTTATTAGTTCAAAATTAGAATAAAATGATTCAAGTATGGGGGTAGTGTTTGTAATATCTCAAAATTTTAAGTTGCTGTGAAATTTAAAAATAATTCATAATAATTTAATTTTCAATTTGTAATTGTGTATACTAGCTTGAAAATCAGTTACTTGTTACTTTACAAGTAGAAGTGATTCTCAACTAAGGTTAATCTATTTTCATAGTGTGGTATCTCTCAGATAACCAGAAGAGCAGATAAGTTAGAAAACTGCTAACAGGAGGTTCTTGGATCTCTGGTTGTGATATATGTTGCTTCTCAAGGATCATGAGAAAAAAAAGGGACACTAGTTTATCCGAACGACAAATGTTTAATCACAATATCATTGTGCAATTCAATAAGCTACAAACAATAAAAGGCAATGGGGCAAGCAATTAGTGCATGCATGTGTGTCTGACAAAACTAAATGAGACTTTGAATAAACAAAAGAGCTGTTTTCAGTGTGTGTAGTTCCTCTTACTATGTTAATTTAAGTTAAAAGAAAACCCACTGTAATCTAAGTTCCTACTTGTATTTCACTCATAAATAATCACTAAAACAATACAGCAATTCTACAAATATATCGCTCTCTTAATGTGAAGCAAAACATTAAACTTGTTTGATTAAGGCAAATTCAAAGAAAGGCAAAGTAAGCTCAGGAGTCATCTAGACTCTTGTTCTAAACAATAGTGAAAGAAACACAAAAAATTGAAGGTTTCTGATGAATACGTAAGGAATTACAAAAAAGAGCACTATGCATCAAAGTGCAACTTAATGAAAGTGATTTATTTTTTGTAAAATATTTCTTGAATTTGATGCTTATTGCATATTCCTTATTACTTCCCTGTTGGATATTAGGGAACAATCTGAATACAACAGAGTAAGTTATTAAATTACATTTTAATGTCTTGACCATGGACTATTTTCAGCAGAACTTGCAAAACATTATCATGATGGAAGGACACAATCTGAGAGCATAGCAAGGGTTAAGAAAGGCTTCTTTTATTTAGATCAAGAGCTTTTACCAGCTATGGTAGGAACTACTTCAGTGTTCCCAGGACTGCTATAACTCCACTTCTATTCATAACCTTAACATTCAGTACCACAAGACAATAAAGATTGGTCATGGTGGTGAAAATCAGCCAAAACATCCTGAGACTAAATGATGTGGTCTGTATTGAATTCTTTGGAATTTGCTGACTAGGCCAGACATTGCCAGATGCTAGTTGGAGTCGCCTGCAACTAAAAATAGCAATGAGATGTGTGTGGTAAACATGTCTATCATGAAGAGCTATGATGATGCTAGGCAAAGCAGTTAACATCTCTCCACAAACCAATGGGTGTTTGGGGCAATCAGAAGCTTTCCAGCTCAGCAAGGCAACTAATGATGCTTTAAGTATGTGTCTGGCATTTATCACACATTCGTATGAATTGCAACTTTTTTGCATGAGGACATTACGTTCATCAGGATGTATGTGTTTCCAGACTTATGGAGAAGGATGAAGGCCTCTGTTGAACAATAACAGTGTCTCATTTACACTACAGTAGACATATTGATAGCAGGAAACTATATACTCTATTTCACAATGATATTGATCTGATTTGAGGTTAACATACAAATGTTAAAAGGGAAGGCAAATGAGGACTTGGACCATTTCTTCAAATGTTTCTAATAGGCTGTCTCCCAGAATGGTTAGACTCAGGAAAAGGCAATGTAACATGTCAAATAGGATGGTCCAGTTCTTGATACCTTTGAGTGGTCTAGAGTATTTGGATAAGGAGCAACACAATAACTAGGCCATATTTGTTACTAAATTGTACTGTAGATTCATCCTTATGGAGAACTAAGTAATCCATAAGTCCAAGTCCAATTCTGTAAGATGAGGGCCCCATAAGAACTCGGCAACTTACACGGACAGTCTGAGGAAATTGCATAGATGGCATTCCTGAGCTGGATTCCTTTGACTGTAATTAGATTATTCCTTAGTTAATTGGGGGCTGCCAAGTGAACTTATGTAAAATCATATATGTTTATGGGATATCTCTGATGAAGGAAGATTTTGTGATGACACACTTTGAAGTGACCATATTAAATCATAAGCTGAAACAGAAAAAAAAAAAACCAGCAATAACAACATGTAGTTTCAGGGTCTTAAATGGGCTTCCCAAGTCCAGTCACCATGGATTTGCCACTAGTGCAAGAGTTGTTGTGGAAGGAACCATTGCTTCAACTGTGGCATACCTGGTCAATTGATGTTGGAATGGCCATATCAGGTTGTGAAATAAAGACAGGCTTATTGGGTAGAAGTATTGTTTCAACCAATGCAGGAAGGTCAACAGCAAGTTACCACTGCAGCAGCTCTGGCTAGTTTGTACTCATAGAGCCTGATTTGGATTTGGTTACCAGCTAAGGCAGTCAACTTGGCACCCAGTGTTATAGTGGCTCATTCAACAACTTTGAAATTGCTATAACATGGTATATGCCTATAATAATAATTGGATATGCACTTGTGTTTCTAGTGGAGACTGGAGCAGCCAGGACCTAATTCAGCCTTAACAGGCAATCTGGGTTAAGTTGCCAATTTAGCAAATTAATATTAACTTCATTCTGGCAAGTGGTTGTAAATTAAACATGAGTGGAAAGATATGTCAATGATTTCATCTTAGTAACATTTCTTATGAAACAATAAGACACTGGTATCATAAAGATGTAACTACTGAGAAGATTATTAGCTAGATTTGCTTTTGTAACAAGTGAACTGCAAATCTTTTGGAAAAAAACATTCAGAGCAGTCCAGATTGGCCCTGAGAACAGTGGGCTACATGCATGAATATTGCAGAGGAAGTAGTGTTCCATAATGTGCTATGGATGCTGTCTGCTACATTGTAACTCTTCTGCA